ATTTTTTTTTTTTACTACATACAGTTCCAGATGAAAAAGTTTTTAGTGAAGTCAGAAATAGTTTATCTCACTTAGTTTCAGAGTTAGAGACATTAAAGGTTTCCTAATTTATGACGTTTCGCAAAAATCTAATATAGGTAAATAGGTAGGTAGGTACAATTTTGCCAAAATAGCATCATTAAAAGCAGAAAACACGAACCTATATTTAATTGATAATTAGATAAAATATAAATATTTATAATATATTATTAGATAAGATAATCATATTAACTACTTAAATAGAAGTGTATAAATAATTTTCAAAAATAACCGTTTCTTTATATATCCGTAGACGTAGATAGCCTACATAGGCTAAGAATAATAAAAAAATTAAAAAAAATCATCTTCCTCAGTGTCTGAATCCGATTCTACATTATCCCCTGTCATCGTTTCTTGATCTATAATTGATCCATTTGGATTATAAACTTGTGCCGCAAGTTTAAAAAATTCAACCAAAGGGTTTAAAGTTGATGCACGGCAAGCCTTTAAAAACATATATTTTGCCAAATAACCAGCGTAAAAATGTTTTTTCCTCGAATACTGAGTCATCGAAGCCTTTGCATGACGCCACATTCCTTCAATATTATTGGTGTGAGCTCCTGTTTCCGGGTTTTTAAATTCTATCGAATGGTTTACTGTCAAATGACTATATCCCTCATCTTTTAAACAATCATAACTCTAAAAGGATTGAAGTAATTGCAATTTAATACTTTCGGTACTAGCGGGACGTTCGAGTCCCGGACACTTTAATCGGTAATAGAAAATAAATGCCTTTATATATTGATATGTTCTGGCCTGGCGGGACATCAGAGTCCCGTCTAATACATGTTGAAAAAAAAAAAAGTGAAATATACTTATTCTTAGACTTATTATTTTACATTATAGCTGGGCAAAAATAACCGTACTCTTATCTGCTAGTAATGGTATCTTTGTATATATATTTCGCGTATACAATCTATTTACGGACGATGCTAATCGTTGATTTATTTTTCAATACTTCTTAGCAACGAAATAAAATATATTTGGTCGTCATATTATCAGTATTTACGAAAATAATTAAGATTTATGAACCGGGACTCAAATGTGCCGTCAGTCCGTACGTAATGTACGTATATCGTATACGCTGTCGTGCGCTCTTGCTGTCGCGGTTCATAATATCAGTGTGTAATCGTCTCGTGTTCGGTGTTTTTTTTTTTATTTCGCAAGTTTATGTTATTATGACTAATTAATTTGTGTGTAAATTTATTTTTTTAAATCAAAATGAGTGCTAAAAGAGTATCGGATCTTGAGGAATGGCTAGCAATGGATATACCCGACGGTGAAGATTCTGAAGATGAATATAATGTGGATGACATCTTGACTAACGAAGAAGCTCAAAATGAGGTAGAAAAACTTGATAAATATTTTTTACGTAATGAACAGCTTTCTGAAGTAACTGAACTAGTTAACAATGACGACTTTATTATTTTTGATTTTCCTGAAAGCAATAATCAAAATCAATGTACTTCGTCAGATTCGTCTATAATAGATACTAGAACTTTGAGGTCCCAAACTTCTCAAACGCCTATTGTTGTAAATGTACCGGTTGATGGAGGTGTTATTCCTGAAAATATAGAACCTAATATCGAAATAAATCGACAGTGGAAAAAAAAAGATGAAATTACTGCTGATCTGCCCCAATATGACGTACAACAATTATTATATAATGAAAATATGTTTGCTGGTTGCAAAACTGCAACTGATGTTTTTCTAAAATTTATTCGCCCTATTGTCGACAATATAATTTTCCAAAGTAATCTTTACGCAACACAAAATAACAAAAATTTGAAACTAACTGAAAAAGAACTATATGCTTTTTTGGGAATAAATTTTTGCATGGGATACAATAAATTACCATCATATAAGTTATATTGGAATACTAGTGAAGATTTACATGTACGTTCGATTTCCAAAGCCATGTCTAGGGATCGATTTCGAGAAATATTATCAAATATTCACGTTAATGACAATATGAATTTACCTAATAATAATAAAGATAAATTATATAAATTACGTCCTATGATCGATACTCTAAACAAAATTTTTCCCGAAGCATATTATGGAACTCGTGAATTAAGTGTTGACGAATCAATGATAAAATTTAAGGGGCGAAGCACAATTAAGCAGTATAATCCCATGAAGCCCATCAAACGCGGTTATAAATTATGGTACATTGCGGATCAAAATGGTTACATTTTGAAATATTCAGTATACCAAGGCAAAAATGAAACTTTGGAACAAGAGTTCGATAAGTATAATTTGGGCGAAAGAGTAGTACTTATGTTGACTAAACCTTTTTGGAAACAACAAAGAATTATAATGTTTGATAATTATTTTACATCAATTACACTTTTGGAAAGATTAAAAAATGAACAAACATTGGCTTGTGGTACTATACGAAATAATCGCAAAGGAATGCCACAAAATCTAAAAAAAGATTCGGATATTAAGCGTGGAGATTTCGACCATAGATTTTCTACTTCAGGAATCGTCATATTTAAATGGAAAGATAATAAAGTTGTGTACTTGGCATCAAACTATCATGGTAATGAAACTACGACTGTACAACGAACTTCAAAAGATGGCTCAAAATCAAATGTTACGTGTCCGACTTTGGTAAAAGACTACAATGCGTTCATGGGAGGAGTAGACCACGCGGACCGACTGCGAGCTTTATATTGTGTTGATCGAAAATCAAAGAAGTGGTGGTTACGAATTTTCTGGCGAAATCCAGTCCTTTATGACAGTCAACAATGTTTCCTTGTCACGTT